AGATTAACACTTATATTTATCTAAGTGATATGGACCTTTTCATTTTACTATAATATAAGATCTTAAATGGTATTGGTATGTCATCATGTGTTAGCCTTGAGTCTACTAATTTAGTTTCTGCCTTTGCAGGTTGCTCATATTCCTGGTGCTCTCTTCTTTGACATTGACGGGATTTCAGACCGAACGACAAATGTGAGATGGTTTTCCTTCAGATGTTAATCTATCTTTTGTCATTTATGTGCTTGCTCGAAAAGAGTCATTTCAGAATAATCGACCATCTGCTGAGAAATAAAGTCTTCTCTTAAAAACAAAAAAGATTCTTTGAAGAAACTGTTTATTGATGCACTTAACATACATCTTCTTCATGTTGGAGGTTTTTCAAGGGGCAGTCTCAACAGATATAGGCCTTATGCACACCCATAAATAACAAACCAATCACTTGCATTTCATTGGACTGAGAAATGATACATTGGATGAATCTTTAGGATCTTCCAATAGCAATATCAGTGACTCATTCTATGCTGGTTACTACGAATTCAGTAGGCTTCTTTTGTTTTTCTCTTGGTTTATGATTTGCTAAGGTGAAATTGTGTTGCTCTAGTTACCACATATGTTGCCATCAGAAGAAGCCTTTGCTGCTGCTGTTTCTGCTCTTGGCATCGAGAACAAAGATGATGTGGTTGTGTATGATGGGAAGGGGGTTTTTAGTGCAGCTCGTGTTTGGTGGTGAGTTATTGGTTCTACTCTAAAATAGCTCTGATTGTGTATTATGCCCCCCTTTCTTGGTTGGATGGATAAACTAATTTTCTTTTGTTTTTCATATTAAAGGATGTTTCGGGTATTTGGCCATAATAGAGTGTGGGTTTTAGACGGAGGCCTGCCACATTGGCGAGCAGCGGGATATGATGTTGAATCTAGTGCTTCTGGTGATGCTATTTTGAAAGCTAGTGCTGCCACTGAAGCGATAGAGAAAGTGTATCAGGGACATGCGGTATATTTAAAAATTATTTGCCTATTTGTATTCTATCTCAATTTCCTTTTGGTTTCTTGTGTGGATGGACCGTGTAACTATGTGTGTAACTCTGTGTTAATCTGCTTTCCTAGTTGTTTCTTTTAATATGATCTATAACTTTCCCTGGTCGTAGGTTGGGCCAGTTACATTTGAGACAAAGTTTCAGCCACATATTGTCTGGACTCTTGATCAGGTTGGCTCTCTTGTTTATGAAAATATGCTGCTTTTGGTAATCTTGATTCTTGTTTCTGTAATGGGTGCTCAGTTTGGAGCTCGATTTCACTATGTTATTGTTTGTTCTATGCTAAGCATGTTATCTATTTTATCAAAAATTGCAAGTTGCAAGTTTTTTATTTTTATTTTTTAAATATAGTATGTATTATAAACCTGAATGTAACACCAACTTCTTATTTGCCTAATCTATTCCTGATATATATATATATATATATATATTTTTTTTTTTTTTTTT